GTATGTTTGATGCTATTGTTTCATTGTCCTCAGGTCTGACATACATAGTTTTGTTTTTTCTCTCGTTTGATTGTGGATTTTTGTTTTGACGCATTGCTTCTGTTTTTAGTTGTTTTAAGTTTCCCATTTTGATTTCTTATTTTATTCAATTTTTAATTTTGATATTTTTTATTTTATTTTACGCTGCGCAAAAATACTTAAAAAACCCAAAAAATTCTTAATAGTTGGTTTTGTGATCTACTTCAACTGGTCAGCAGTCGTACGTTTCAGATTAGGTTAGGTTTCGTTTCGTTTAGGTTACGTTAGGTTTCAGACTGCCCGCTGATTCAATCACAATTCCTTCTCAACCACACACATTCACATTCACTCTTTTTTAGGCCTTTGGTACTCTAGGGACTGCTACCCAGGGACTCCAACCCGTTTTTCTAGGGACTGCTACCCAGGGACTCCAACCCGTTTTTCTAGGGACTGCTACCCAGGGACTCCAACCCGTTTTTCTAGGGACTGCTACCCAGGGACTCCAACCCGTTTTTCTAGGGACTGCTACCCAGGGACTCCAACCCGTTTTTCTAGGGACTGCTACCCAGGGACTCCAACCCGTTTTTCTAGGGACTGCTACCCAGGGACTCCAACCCGTTTTTCTAGGGACTGCTACCCAGGGACTCCAACCCGTTTTTCTAGGGACTGCTACCCAGGGACTCCAACCCGTTTTTCTAGGGACTGCTACCCAGGGACTCCAACCCGTTTTTCTAGGGACTGCTACCCAGGGACTCCAACCCGTTTTTCTAGGGACTGCTACCCAGGGACTCCAACCCGTTTTTCTAGGGACTGCTACCCAGGGACTCCAACCCGTTTTTCTAGGGACTGCTACCCAGGGACTCCAACCCGTTTTTCTAGGGACTGCTACCCAGGGACTCCAACCCGTTTTTCTAGGGACTGCTACCCAGGGACTCCAACCCGTTTTTCTAGGGACTGCTACCCAGGGACTCCAACCCGTTTTTCTAGGGACTGCTACCCAGGGACTCCAACCCGTTTTTCTAGGGACTGCTACCCAGGGACTCCAACCCGTTTTTCTAGGGACTGCTACCCAGGGACTCCAACCCGTTTTTCTAGGGACTGCTACCCAGGGACTCCAACCCGTTTTTCTAGGGACTGCTACCCAGGGACTCCAACCCGTTTTTCTAGGGACTGCTACCCAGGGACTCCAACCCGTTTTTCTAGGGACTGCTACCCAGGGACTCCAACCCGTTTTTCTAGGGACTGCTACCCAGGGACTCCAACCCGTTTTTCTAGGGACTGCTACCCAGGGACTCCAACCCGTTTTTCTAGGGACTGCTACCCAGGGACTCCAACCCGTTTTTCTAGGGACTGCTACCCAGGGACTCCAACCCGTTTTTCTAGGGACTGCTACCCAGGGACTCCAAAGCGGTGGGGTAGCAGAAAACTATGGCTTGTCTGCAGCGGCAAATTGGCCGATGTGCGCATGCGCAGTTAACTCGGGTAGGAAAAAAACTATAGGTAGGAGAAAACTTCAGAACAACGGCGAAAGATTCGTTCATAGCGAAAGATTAGTTCATAGCGAAATATTAGTTCACAGCAAAAGATTAGTTCACAGCGAAAGATTAGTTCACAGTGAGTGATTCGTGAGTGATTCGTGAGTTCAATATGAACAAATCTTTCATATGACTCGGGAGTCCCGAGTCATATGAAAGTTCATTTTGAACGAATCACTCCGAAGGTCAATAATTAAATTTGTGCTGTACTCTATACTTGAATTTGTTTACAGTCAATATGAATTTCTTAGACACAAGAAGGGTGCTCTATCCATTTGTATAAAGAAGCGTTGTTTGTAGGACAAATATGTTGCTGTGTATATGGTTGTGTTGGTGTAAGTGTAATTGAAAGAGGAATGCTGATGGATATGAAGCATTACCAGATGTATGCTGTTGGAGGAATAGTGGAATAAGATGCTCTTTTTAGTTCTTACAATTGTAAATCTGACTCAGAGGAGTCAGTGCCTCACCAGCCATGAACTTCACCGCATGTCACTGATGTCAACAGTTGATTCAGACTCCTTCAGAGCCGTCATAGGCAAAATACCTAAGAGAGGAGGAGCTGGTCCACCGTGCAGAAAGAAGTAGGCAGAAGTTGGCAGAAGTAACTAGAACTAATTACTGTTCAGAGTAACGTACCCAACACTGGTTTTGTTAAAGTTTCACCAAATCCAGTGCAAATTAATTTGACATTGTTTTTTTCAAGAGCATTTTTCAACAAATAAAGTATATAAGCAATAACCCTACTGCACTGTATTACTGAACCAGCTGTGATAGTGAGAAAAGCTGTAATTCCCAGACATTCCGTCACATTAAGATGTGAAGTAGGTCTAGTTTTTGTTTTTGCTACACAAAGATAGAGACTTTGAAGACATAAAATAATAATAATTTATAATCGTGGCGACAGTTCCCACCTTTTCTTATTTTTACTGCAGATTCTGTAAGGGATTTTTCCTTTAACTGTGCTGTGCTAAGAAAAATAATGAATGACGTAGTGAATATACAGTTGTGTTCAAAATTGTTCAACCCCCACTGCAATAAAGTGTTTTAGCAAATTTCACATTTATATTTTATCTTTTTTGTAATCAGATCAAAGAAGGACTTTGTCAAATGCAACTGAAATTACAACAATATTTCTGGTGATATGCCAACAAATGTCCTTTCTGTTGAAAGATTTTTGCTATATTCTGATCACAGTACCAGTCAAAAGATTCTTGCTGTGCAAGGTGTCTTCAGGCAAGGAATGGAGTAGCCGGTAGATGGTCGATTCGTTTTAATAGCAAAACGTCAAACAAACAGGTCCAACAATAAAGCAAAATAAACGATTGGAGAAGTATTCAAGGAAATCTCGTACAACAGTTCTTAATACGCAAATCCTCTCAAGAATAACTTCTAACTTCTCAAGAATAACTTCTAAAGTATCATTAGTTGTTTACGCTTATATACCTGTGTGGGAGAAGTGGTTTTCGACTTCCCGGGTGTGTGTTTAAATCTTGTGGGCCAATGGAAGAGAGAGGCTAGGCCTCTTGTGGCCAGTCATATTATTGTTCTTGTATCATGTGATGCCTGCAGTTTCCACTATGTGACACTGCTGTTCCATGATTCAGCAGTGTTGGAAGAACCTTTTGTTGCTGAATGGGGGGTTATCACAAGGGAAGTAGACCGAGCCATGAAGTCCAGTCAACCACAGGTGGTCATGTAGATCAAAAGGAATGGATGGCTTCGGGGTTCCCTGTGAGAAGGTAGATCGGGAGATCTTCCATTGTTCCCAGGAAGTAGAAAGTTGGTGTGAAGATCTCCCATTGTTCCCAGGGAGTAGAGGTGTTTTTAGAAAGTTGGTGTGAAGAGAATTTGGGAAAATTCTCTTTGAATGTGTGGTGCTATGTGACTGTGTGTGCTCGGGAAAGCCATCTAGTATCTTAGCAGCTTCCTGCTGCAGACCCAACCAAATGTGAAAACCACTGAAATCTAACACTGTCTTTGCAACATTTACAAAATTATTCAACCCCTTAGTCACATCCATCCTTAGTACTTAGTACAACATCCTTTGGCAGGTATAATGTGAAACATTGCTTGACACAAGTTTGTTGCAGTGATCTACTGATATCATAGCCCATTCCTTATGGGCAAAAGCCTCCATTTCATTCACATTCGTGGGCTTCTGTGCTGCAGCTGCCTTCTTCAAGTCCCACGGAGATTTTCAATTGGATTTAAGTCGGGTAATTGCGATGGTCACTCCAGAATGTTCCAGCCCTTCGTCTGCAGCCAAGCTCTAGTAGATTTGGAGGTATGCTCGGGATCGTTGTCCTGTTGGAAGGTCCAACTTGAAGACGGAAGCCTCAGGTTTGTGACTCACTGCATGACATTTACATCCAAGATCTCCTGGAAGTTAATAGAATTCATGGTACATTGCACACAGTAGAGATTCCCTGTACCTGAAGAACCAAAAGAGCCCCAAAGCATCACTGACCCCCCACCATGCTTCACAGTAGGCAAGGTGCGCTTTCCTTCATAATCCTGGTTCATCCTTCTCCAGACATAATGTTGATCCATGGGCCCAAAGAGTTCCAATTTTGTTTCAGTACAGTATCCCAAAACCTTTGTGGTTTGTCCATGTGGTTTTTCACATACTGGAGTTGACTCTTCTTGTTCTTTGGAGTCAGCAAGTGTTGGCACCTGGGAGTTCTGGCATGGAGGCCTTCATCTCACAGTGTGAGTCTTATAGTCTGAGCTGAAACCTGAGTACTTCTATCGGACAAATCCTTTCACAGTTCCTCAGCACTCACCTGGAGATTTTTCTTCACTCTTTGCTTTGCCACGCCCAGGTAGAATTTCCACTGTGCCTTCAGCTTTAAACTTGGGAATAATGCTTCCAATTGTGTCTCTTCAAATGTTTAATGTCTTTGCAATCTTTGTATATTCATATCCTTTCTTATGAAGAGAAATTACCTCCTCTCTTGACTTCTTTGACCATTCCCTGGACTTCACCATGTTGCAAAGATACAAGTAATTGTCTAGAAGGAGCCGAGTACCACTGTTTTTTTTAAAAAAATCTGCTTTATTGTTCATTATAGTTCTTTTCACATCTACACATTTTCAAGACCTAATTGAAAGCTTTTGATTGAAGTGTGGTAATCTTTAAGGTTTTGAATAATTTTGGCAGTGAAGAAATCACAAAAAGGACATTTGATACTGTATTAGACAAATATGTCTTTTAGTTGCATTATAATTTACAAGTCCTTGTAAGATTTCATTATGAACACTATTACAAATATATATTGATTTCCCTAAAACCCTTTACAACATTGGGGGTTGAATAATTTTGAACACAACTGTGTTTATGATTGTAATAATTGTTAAATGTGATCTACTATGTCTGAACAGAATAGAACAGCAGTAGTTATTTCTGGAACAATGTAAACAGAGGAGATGTCCCACTTCCTGTGTAGGTTGTTAGTGGTTGAGCACTGCTGTAGCTGCTAACAGAAGCAAACAGGATGTGGTGAAGGACTGAAGTATCTCTCTGTCTCCAGACAATTAGCATTAAGGTTAAACCGATTGGCGCAACCTCTGGGATCTCAAACCTTAAAATGCAGCCAAAGTCTGTATGAAAAACACGGGTGGTTGTAGGAGTCTGTTTCATTCCCCAGATACGGCTCCTCGGGTTTCATTTTTACTCGGCTACATTCCATGACAGAAATCACTACAACCGTCTTGAGCTCCAAAACTGAGCTTAGTTTAAAGTTAGGTCAGGCTAAATTTAGTCTGTTTGACTAAAGGTGACCTGGATATGGAAATAATGAATCATTCTGCTCACAGGCCCTGCAGCTTCCACGTCCGTATTTGGCATCTGTTTCATTTGAGCGTTTCTGCTTTCTTGTTGCAGGTTTCTGCATGTTTGTGCTCAGTCTGGTGAAGAAACACCATTGGCTCCAGTTTTACATGGTGAGCTGCTGCTTGACTGATGAAGTTCTCTGAATTAACAGATCTTTTAATGAATGACATCTGGGAAGACCCTTACAAAACAGTTAATAAAAAAAAAAGTATGTTCTTGTCTTAACAGTTTGGATGGACACGTGACTCTGCTGATTGTTGTGACTCAGTCTCACCTCATCATTCACAACCTGTTTCTCTCTCTCTCTCTCTCTCAACTTCTCACTTTCTCACACTCTGTCATGAAGTTCATTTCCTGTCAATTTTACAGTGAATAATGTGAAACCCCTTGTCTTTGTTAACAGGTTCTTTGTGCCTATTTCCTGTGTTATCTGTAATGATGTTATGGCCTACATGTTTGGCTTCTTCTTCGGCCGAACCCCTCTCATCAAGGTATGTTTGTACCGACTGGGGGCAGTGTCCGCGCAGATCAACACATCCTTGTAGTTGCACATTACATTTGTGGGGTTTTTTTTACTGTCATTTTGAAATAACAGAATAATGGCAGGGGGTCAGATTTGATCATGTGTTGTGTGCCCAGTGTTAGATTTCAGTGGTTTTCACATTTGGTTGGGCCTGCAGCAGGAAGCTGATAAGACACCAAATGGCTTTCCCGAGCACACAGTCACATAGCTCCACACATTCAAAGAGAATTTCCCCAAATTCTCTTTACACCAACTTTCTAAAAACACCTCTACCCCCTGGGAACAATGGGAGATCCTCACACCAACTTTCTACTTCCTGGGAACAATGGAAGATCTCCCAATCTACCTTCTCACAGGGAACCCCGAAGCCATCCATTCCTTTTGATCTACATGACCACCTGTGGTTGACTGGACTTCATGGCTCGGTCTACTTCCCTTGTGATAACCCCCCATTCAGCAACAAAAGGTTCTTCCAACACTGCTGAATCATGGAACAG